AAAACTCAAAATTCCTGGTGATGCAGTAGAGAAAACAGGCAGATAAAGGACTAGATAACCCTTGGTCTATTGCGCAATGTTCTAATGCCTGGATGACTGAAGTGACAGACAAGTTAGTGGCTATGGAATGCTGCTGTGACAATCAACATCCTTAAGATCAGACAAGGACCAGATTCTAACTAACATACTCTTCAGTATGGGCAGTTTTGCTGTTTCTTCATTTTGGATTGGTTCTAGACCTTTTCCTCCAAGCAAAAGTCAATCAGCTTGCAGTTTGTATATGTCCCATATTGGGAAGGGAGAATCTTCATCACCTCCTTTAGAGAAACACCCATAGTGTTCATGTGGTTAGTAAGCTTGGAGATCAGTCAAAAAAAAATCTTGTGTATGTAAGACATGCAGTGGTGGTAAGCTTCATAAACAAGGCTCCTATCTATCCTTTTTAAGTATACCACCATCCAAGAGACACAATTTACTCTTAAACTGAAATCAAGTGCCTGAGTAAGTTTTGTTATTGTTAACCCTTGCTAGCCTGGCTAATATACTACTTGTAAGAAATGGGAGGAAGAACGGATGATTCTCTATCCCTTTAAAAGAATTAAAGTAAAAGTGGCTTTTAAAATTGTAAAAGAGATACAAGCAGTATTTTTGTGTTTGTGTGTGCATAATGTTTCTCTGTTAAAAGCAGTTCTGAGCTGCAAGACTCTGAAATTCAAGCTGATGGCAGAGACATAGCTGGCTAATTCTTCAGCTGACATGTTAATTGTAACTATAAATTTCTTCTGTTTAAAATTGTTCAGCTGTAATCAAGGTACAACAGACTTTAATTTCAGCTTAAGATAACATTAACATTCTTTGTTTGAGGCAATCTCTTTTAAAATCTCTGGAAGTGGATGCCAAAAGCATTTGCTGCTATATTTTACGTTTGTAATTGTAGAGAATGTAGTATAGCCAAAGCACTTAAGTTTTGGTTTCTTGGCTGCAAACTTGAAAAGGATTTCCTTTCATTGAGCCAAGCAACAAATGGTTGGAGCTCTTCATGTTGGATTCCAAGGAATCCTGAATCTTAAGAACAGATAATATTTTATCTGGGTAATTTATCTTCTGTATGCTAGGTGCCATTTAATGGGTTAGTATGCTTATTTTAGCTTATGACTATAAAGATATTGGAACCACATGTTGTAGCACTTTACATGTGCTTCAAAAAAAGAAGTGGGAATTATAAATGCTATTAGCAACTTTGCTGTAATTCATTCCTGGTTTAAAACCAAGCACTAAAGTACCTGATGTGACTGCTGAATTTTCTGAACTGCTGTCAAGAGCTAGTCGTTGCACAATGACAAGCGATGTTCCCTGAAAACACATGGCTTTTGAGTTTGTTTTTTAAAGAAAATGTTAAGTGTTCAGGCGGACTGAGATGTCTTGAACGTGTCTTCTGCTGTTTTTTCTTTCTCACTTGCTACCTGACTTGAGTGTTACCCACTGGTGGCAATGCAAAGTGATCAAGTTTCCCATCTTACTCCTGAAAACTCTGAAGACATCAATCTCTTTTGCTAACTTGGCAAGTTTATTTTTAACTAAGCGTTTTTCAGGAATTTGTAGGCATTGTTGTGGAAGCTTTTATGAGTATCTTCAAGTGAACAGTTACTGTGTTCACTTATCACTCTCTTTGAAGGACCAACGATTCAGACTATTACATCTGTTGTAAATTAGTAATGTAATTAAGATGTGGAAAGTAATAGCCTACTTACAGTTTTAGAATTTGCACCTTCACTGCTTTTTTTTATCAGAACAAGTGTTACGAAACAGTAATCGGGAATTGGGCACATGAGTTCTTCCATACTAACTCATGATAACCCTATCACCACCTTCATTCCAGCAGAGAGCTAGTGCAGAACATCTAGGAATGCATGCAGTATTTAAAGTTCAGGTGTACTACATGTGTTTTTTTTTTTTCTTGATTTGCTCATTACAGAACTATTTTTCTGGTTTTGTGATCCTCAATTGTGTAGCAAGATGATAGTTTCTGGAAAGCAGAGTATAGCAGAACATGTGTTCTTATAAGGGTAATGAGAGTTGTAGACATCATAAGGTGCTTTTTTTTCCTTACTAGTTTGCTTTCATGGGCACTGAGTTTCAGTTGTGTTAATTTTTAGTTCCTAGGTCTAACACGGTTCTTCTGCATTGTTTGATAGATCTAAATAGCAAATTACCTTTCTGAAGAAGTAACTCAGTCAGATTTGGATATTGATACTTACTGTATAAGTCTGGAGTTTTATTGGGAGGGAGGCTTAGGTAAATTCATGGTTGCATAAATGAAAGCAGTGAGGCTATCTAACAAAGCTTTACGGTTAGCACTTCTGAAACAGATCATTATGGAGAGGAAAACTGCCGTTTGTCAACAACAGTATTGCTAGTGTTACTAGTTTACAGAATAGACAGTCCATGCCAGTACTGACTTAAGAGTGTTACATAGAGTAAGGTATTTTTAAAGTAATTACCTACAGTACTTAGTCGCTTTTAGAGCTGATTGTCTCCCTTACAAAAAAAAACCCAAACAAACATACAAACAAAAAAACCCACATGTAAACTGTCAGACTTGGCAGAGATGTTTTTCAAGTAAGTACTGAAATACTTTGTATTGTCAGTCAGACAATCCAATTTGAGACTTTTCTTGATAAAGTGTTAATCACAGGACTCTCTTGTACTCTTGGACAGCAATATGCCTAAAACATGTAGATGAAAGAGTTGGACATTTTGGAATGTAAAGTCAGTGTTAACTGGTTTCTTTCACCACTGGTTAGATAGAAGCATTAAAACATAAAAAGAGCTTATCAAAGACCCTTAGGCACAGACTGGGAATTTTAAGACTGCAAAGGTTATCATTGTGCAAGAGCATTTGAAGAACAGATGTGTTTCCAGTTTAGTGTCCTACAGTCAGCATTCAGTAGCTGTCTTATTCTTTGGTAGTACAGTATCACACTTCATACAGACAGTTCACAAAAGCTGTCATTGTTGCGTCAGAGGTAAACACCTATGTCCGCAGGGTTATTTTAGGCAGCTACTTTATGCATACTTTTTAAGCCTTTTGTTCATATCATTGATGTGTCACAGGTGACGTGGGAGAAAGAACCCAGAAGTGCATCCCAGAAAGGCAAGTGGAAGGCTTGCTTATCCAAGAAGAGATTTGTAGTCTTTAAAAATCATGGGAAGCATTAGCATCTTCTGGAGGAAAATGTTTAGTTATTCTACTTCTGTTTGGTAACTTTCTTTGATCTGTCATTTTTATTTTATCCAGGCTCTGGCTATAGTATGTTTGATAGAAAAGGAGAACCACTTGTCCATAAGTTTTTCTTCAGTGTATGTTTTGAGCTGTGTTAACTCCTGAAAATCTGTACTGTCAAGCTGTGTACTTGAGTAGCCATAATCTTAGTTGTATGCAGCTATAGAATTGGGCTGTTTAGGAGCATAACCTCTATAAGTAACAATTCACCTAACATTGAGACAGCTGGTATGCTACCTCTGGTTCAATATATTTTACTGGTTGCCTCCTTCCACAAGAAGGAATTTCTTAAAAATGGTGATGCTTATAAAGTTAACTTTTGGGAGATGGAAACAAGAAATTGTTACAGTAAGATGTGGCAAACAGCTTGGTATGAACACTGGGAGCTGCTGTGGAGGACAGCAGATGTGTCCAAGTCACTTGCTCTTGTGAAGAGAGGTTCCATTTTCCATTATTATTACGGCAAACATATCTAACCTCAAAGCTCCTAGCGGATGAAAACATGATCCTGTTTTTGATGCTTTGACTGTAGCTGGTGAGGACAGAGACCCACTGCTGTGTAGAGTTTTCAAATATTTGTTGGTGACAGACAGTTCTTAGGCAGCTTCCCTTATTTCCTGTCCTTGGTAAGCATGTTAAGTGACGAGAGCACCACGCTCAGTATCACAACATTTAAGTACGAAGTAGTTTTCAAAGTAGTTGGCTGTTCTCTTGATCAAATGTAATGGAATGCCATTTTCATATTTCCTTGCAGAAACGGGAGCTTGAAAAGACAAGGGTCTTGATTTTCTTTAAGATTTTTATAGCATTAGCTCTTTAAACCCGATTCAGTACTGTATCCTCCTAAGACAAGGACAAGCTGCTGTTGTGAAGCCTTTCTAAGGAATTTGTGTGAGGAGAAGACCATACTATATGGCATGTGCTCAACTTGCAACTGGTGAAACTTGAGAGATGGAGAAACAACAGTTAAATACTCTAGTTTCAGATGCTTCTCTGGTCAACTTTTCACAAGAGTACTGGCAACAGGAACAATTAGCTAGAGAAGTGGCTTACTACCTGGGACGTGCCAGATGAGAGAGAAAGTGATGTGCCTGAAAGAATAACCATGTAGACTTAGATGCACGTTTGCTGGTTGTCCTGTCCTTTACTTGAGACTTCCATGTGGTACTTGAAGAAGCAGAAGGCTTCATTTATTCTGATACCACCGTATGCAGTTCAGTGTAGCCTGAGTGTGTTGCCTTTGAGATGGGATCTAGGTATGTTCACTACAATTAAGTACGCTGCATGACATAATACCACTATCAAGAACTCTCAGTAAAACTAAGTAGCAATTTTTACTAAATGAAATTTTTTCCATGCATCAGTGTATTTTAAGCTGTGTATGAAAAATCTCAAATCACTTCTGGCTAGCTGGCCTGTTTTAGGGTCAGGACCACGCCCAGACCTGTAACAGATACTCTCTGTTAACTCTACCCTCCCACACTCCAAAAAAAAGGGAAAAGAAAGGGAATGAAGGAGAGAGACTTCAATTGGAAAAGTAAACCAGCTTTAATGAAAATAGTACTACTATGACTACTAGGAATAATAATAATATGGAATATATAAAAAAAGTGTCAAACCCAACTGCCCCCTGCTGATGGCAATATGTCACTGTCACCCCCAATGAATGCTGTGGAGCAGGCCTTGGGGAAAAGTCCCGGGCTGGACCTGGCAGCAGATGGCAACTGGATATAGGAGCTGGATTCTGGAGCTCGGGCAGGAACACTTGGTTCAGGCTCAGGGTCAAAGGCAGAATGGACGGAGTCCTCCTCGGATGCCGGCCATGGACGCAGCAGCAAAAGGGAAGAAGACAGGGCTTGATCCATGTGATCCTTCAGCTTTTATACCAAATATGAGGGATGTGGGATGGAATACTCCACTGTTCAGTTTAGGGTCACCTGTCCTGTCTGCTCCTCCCTGCAGGTGCGGCGTTTACTTCCTGCACCTCTCAGTGTGGTACACAGGATTAGCAGTGACTCTGGTCTGCACACCAACCCTTGGTGGTAACTCTAAACGTGGAGCATTATCACTGCTAGAAGCAGACACTGTCTGCAAAACTTTGCTGTTGGCTTCAGAAAGTGCAGTTAGTTAGAAGGGTTTTAGCTGAACAGTAAAATCACTGAACAGAATTAGTTCAGTTCTATCCCAAACCAGGACACTAACAAGTCTTCTCATTACTAATCCACATCTAATAAATGTGGAGGCTATTCACAGTTGACACAAATAACTTACTGTTATGATCCAGTTCTGGAGATGAAATATTAGATTATCAGTACTTCTCAGAGCACTGTGATAAAGCAATGGAAATTGCTGTGTGGGAAGAGAATTTAACTGCTTCTTGACAAAATTCCTACCAGTGTGTGACAGAATTGTCAATAAGTAAATGTACTTTATTTTTCCCTTGACAGTGCAAGTGAACAGTGTAACTCTGAGTGTTCTTTGGAGTGATGAAAGACAAGACACTATTTTGATTAAAAGTTTTGCTAGTAAGAGCATTTCTGATCTGAAATGCTTCTCTTCTTTCCCCTTTTGTTACGCCCCCTCCAAATCCACAGAGTCTTAGTGTTTTTCACTGTTATGAAGATCTTATCGTACATGTATTGCTGTTCTAAAGTAGTGCTAGTGCATTTTTTTTTCCATTCAGTATGTGACTTGAGTAGAAGCATTGTTTCAGTATGAGAACAAGCATGAAAAATACTATGCCTGCTTTATTTACAGCTGAGACTACAGTGGTGCTTTTTTGATCTTGCTTTAAAGAGCTGAACATGGAGCCCTGTGTAGTGGAATTCTTTTGTGCCTACACTTTAATATCTGTTCTCACTGGTGCTTTTATCAGGCATCCACTAGCCCTGATAACCAGCAATAACCTTCTGGATATTACATTTTGTGTGTACTTGAAAATATTTTCCTAAGAAATATTGCATAGTGTGGAGAGACAAGACATACAGAACAAAACTTCCTTGTGTTCATAGCGTGCATATCTTGGAGCTGATCTGGTAACTGATAACTCAAAGTACCAGTTGTGAGCCATTACCTCCTTCCCAGAATGAAACAGGCTGGGCTATGGGCTTTTTTTGAGTAACGTAGTGAAACGCGTAGCACTCGCACGATGGCTGAGGTTGGAAGTGACCCCTGGTTCTACCAATATGTGGCCAGCTGTGGTCATATGCTAAATAATTATCTAACTATTTAGATAATGGGATATTCTCCACCTTCTCTTAAAACCTAAACACATGTGGATTCATTCTTTTTCTGCTGTGAGCCTCAGGTGTGCCTGAGTTGCAGTTCAGGAGCCTGATTCAGAGGGCTTTCCATTTCTTCTGGTTTAGGCACGTCAGCATAGGCTCAGCAAATGAGTGGCTTGTAACTATATGTATTAAATTAAAACTAATTAATTATTATTCTGCTTCTTGTTGTAGAGATGCTACAGGTAATTCTGTGTAAAATCTTACATGTAACAGTATGGTAATTCTTTTTTTTTTTTGGTTCACACTGCTCTTCTTACCACTCTAAATAGGTGATACATCACTTTTTGCTTGATTTAAGCTCAAGTGCCTGAATACAAATAATCAGGAAGTGAACAGATTCATCTGGTCAAAGGCTGTGTAACTCTCCTAAGAAGTTACAGCCATTAATTCTATTCAGAAGAGCTGCAGTTCAGCAAACTGAGTAATTCCCAGTTACATTTCTTTTTGTCCTCTGATGTAATACATCATATATATACTCATGTAAATATAAAAAAAAGAATGTATATAACACATCAATATCTGTCTTAATTCCTTGTGGAGACAAGAAAACCTACTATTTAAGAAAGCTGTCTGTTAAAGGTAACTGTTTGCAAACAGGTTGTGATTCTGCCTACTCATGTAAAGCTTATGTCAAACAGAATCTCCAGATGTTGATACACCTGTTTTAATGAGAATTTCATAATGCGGAGTCAGAGAGAGAAGCACTGACATGAATCTGTGCTAACGACCTTTTGATAAGGATGACATAATCTGATCTTTTTTTTTTTTTTAAATCTGAATGTTTACTGCTAACTGAAAGAGGGGATGTGGGTGACAACCTTCAGAATTGATAGTTCTATAAATATTCCCTCTGGACTCTGTGCTGATAGTATACTTGATATTACTGTATCAGGAGGAGGAGGAATTTAATATGTGACCCTTCAGCATGGAACATGCTTCTTGAAAGCACAATTTGGATCCAGGCTATTTTGTGTCTTATGTAGCAAATGGGAGTTTTGCCCTTTACCTCATTGGGATTGAACCTTTAATTCCTTAATAGTTTTCTAAGCCCTTTGGGATGCAGGCTGCTTCACAAATACTGCTTGAGCTGGTATGTTGGATAGTATTCTCTGAATGGTATTCAGGGCCTTTCTAGTATAATCATTCTTTATACTTGTTGCCTTGGATAACTCACATACTTTACTTCAGTGTTTCCTGCAGATTTCTTACAGCAAGTGTGGGAAATATTTGAGTTTAGATACTTGGGTGTTTCCATGGCCTGGCAAAACAAATCAGTCTCTTGAAAAGTAAGCATGCAACAAGCGTGTATCTATACGTATCAAAAAGATTTCTGCATTGTAAAGCTGAGAGTGGAATTGTAAAGAAAAAGGCACAAGTTAGTCTTGGCCCATGAGACTGATGTTTTCTGCCTGTCATTCTTCCCTTTCAAAAGGTGAAGAGCGTCTGGGAGGAGACATTTCTTCCCTCCTTCTCCCTGAAATGCCACTCTCCCAACCTCCCTTCTAGCAGTATCACCTTACAATGAATACTAGAATAGTTTGCAGGCAAGTGAATAATTTATTTCCTGAAAAACTGATGAAATGACAGCTAAGTCAGGAAATGCTGTGGTCGAGACCAGTGACTTGTGGTACAATATATGCTTTCGGATTAAGGAGTAAGACTTCCTGTGCTGTAGAAGTTGCTCCATTTGAAATCTTGTAGCTCTTTCTAGAAAAGACCAGATGTTCGTTCCTTAGGGCTTAAGGCCTGTCTTAAGAGTATTTATTGCTCTGACTTACAACACTTTGCTCTAACTGAAAAAGAATACCTAAGTTTGTTTTGTATCCCTTGAAATCTGTGAGATGTGACTTATGTAAGGAACATGAAAAGAATAGCTTAAAACTTCTGCCATGTCATTGTTTAATTTTTCTATTTACACAAGTAGATGAGTTTCTTTACAATGTGAGTATCAAATGCCCTCTCTACTTTGCTGCTCACATAAAAGATAAACTTTTTTTTTTCCCCACCCCAAGGAGCCCTTTGAAGATGGCTATGCAAATGGTGAGGAAGGGACACCAGCTGGGGAAGCAGCTGCCACTTATACACCTGATAGCAAAGGTGTGGTCAAGTTTGGCTGGATAAAAGGTGTATTGGTAAGTCTGATGTATTGCTCTTCAGTTTCATGTGAGTGTGATCTAATAAACCTTTTTTTTTTTTTTTTGAGAGGGATTGTGATAGCACTGTATAAAGAAAATATATATATGAGAGATGTGGAAAAATGCTGTCATTTTAGCAAGGGTTGCTCTTACTTGTTCTCTTTAAATGTGTTTTTAAAGAAATAAATGCTTCAGAACTTCCATGGTTTGAAGGGGTTAGGGTTTTTAGCACAGTTTTTTTTTGAAGTTGCATAATTTCCAGGAAGGAAAAAGATTATGTAAGTAGTCATATCTAGTATAAAAACTACATAAGAATCTTAAATGACGAAGACAAATGCAAATGGAGAGAATACACTTAATGTGTGCTTGCTTTGGGTCTGTAACGTGTTGGACCAAAGTGTTAGGAAAGTTTAATTTTTATTCATTTTTAGAGAAGTAAAAAATTGTGTTGTGGAGAATACCTAGTTGTATATGGCAGAACTTGACCAGGATTAAGTATTTGAATTTTATTGAGCTTGTTACAGATAGTCATCTTTTCCTGAACTATGGCAGACTTAATGCTAAATACAATATAGTCATGGTGGAAAAAACTAAGTCTGTCCCTGTTTGGAGTAGTTAAAATTAAAGGTGACATGAGATATTTTATTACAAGTACATGTTGACTTATTTTTTCCATTTTGGCAAAGAGAAGCCATGAAGCTATAGAAAGTACGTATTAGAGTATATAGTGGTAGCTGCAGATGCAACAGTTTGCCAAAACATGCTGAACTTCAGCTGACTTTAGTTCAGCAAACTTTCACTGTGTTCTAACTTCATTAGAAGTCTTGAAGTACCCATGTTCTCTGCCTTGGGAGGAGATTGGTTGTGGTGCCTGTGAAGCAGATATTACAGACTTCTGTTGACGTTCCCCAACAAAGAACAGAATTGTTAATTTTAAAGTTGGTATGAAGCTGCCTTTGAGTTCCTCTAGACCTAAATTCTGCATTGGACTATTTTTGGAAGTAACAGTTCTAAGTATTAGAGAGTTACAAGATAAATGTTGCTGATCATCTTCTTCCAAAGTCTACTGAAAAGTTTGAGGGAGGATGATCTCCTTTGCAGTGGTGTGTAAGTTGCAGTTAGTATTTCCTAGTGGTTTGGAGAGGTTCTTGTCTCCCTTATAATCCTAATGACCCACTAAGGTTTTTGTAGGATTGATACCTTACTCTTTAGGTAAGAGAGATACCTAAGACCTGCTATTAGTCTTGAGCCTAAGTTCTGTAGGTGCAAACTCTGTTTTACTGAGGATTAAGCACTTTAAAATACAAGGATTAAAAAAATAAACACCCCACACCCTTATCCTGTTAGAGTGCAGCTGTGTTGTAAGACAAAGAAGTTCTAGGACCAGGATGTTGTGGTGGTTGTTTGTTTGTTTTTTTTTTAAATATTTAGTACGCTATTGCTTTAGTGCATTTTTTTGGTGAGATGAGAACTGCAGTCATAGATGTCACAGTCATTGTAGTCCTCGATCTTATTTTTAGTCATGTGTTCTGTAGTATGAATTTTGGATCCAAAGGTTGGGGTGTGCTTACTTGTATTTTTTGGTCGAGAGTGTCCAATACTGAAGTACTGTAATTTTATATTGAACGTAGTAACTTTTTAATTCTATTTAAGTTATGTTTTGGTTTATTTACTCAAACTAGAACTTGTGTAATGAAAAAAATCTGTTCTTCATCTTGATAAGTGGTGAACAAAGACTGCAAGATATTTTCAAGAACATAAGAACCAAAATGAACAGGTGGAAGTGACTGTAGATGTAAGACCTAACCTGTGTAAAATTTCTGTTCATCTTAGGTACGATGTATGTTGAATATTTGGGGTGTCATGCTATTCATCAGACTGTCATGGATTGTAGGACAAGCAGGGATAGGTATGTGAACTAATGCTGTAAGATTATTTCAGTGACCCTCAAAAGTGATCCAAAATCCTGAGCCTATATTTTAAAAAGGGGTAAAAAAGGGCCTTAAAATTGCAAGTTTTTAAGGTAATTTGCCCTTACCTATAATGTTAAGCAGTATGAAGTTACTTTTTTCATTTAGCTACAAGGCATGCAATTTAAACTTGATATTTGTGAGTCTTAAGTGAACTGTAGACAAACTTTTGATCTCTGGCTATTAAAGTCTGCGTGTAGACTGCAGTATATAAACGTTTTTCTTCAAAGGCTGAACTCAGTATTGAACTAAAAAAAATTTCTGATTTGTAAAAGGCATATGTTTCCTTGAAGCTCTAGGATACAGCTTTTAACCTGCTGATTAAAGGGAATGTTTTCCCAGTTTTTTTTGTATCCTGGAAACTCCTTTACAAAAGAGTGAAGAAGCCTTTTGAATGTGCAGGGCCACACATAATAAATTTGTGTTGTATTTTCAAGATTAATTCTTCAGACCAAGTTAAGTTGAAGATTTGTGCATTTTAATACTGCTGGACTTAAACCTTCTTTCCCCCTCTTTTTCCAAAAGGTCTGTCAGTCTTGGTTATTGGAATGGCCACTGTTGTGACAACTATTACAGGACTGTCTACTTCAGCAATAGCTACAAATGGGTTTGTAAGAGGAGGTAAACATACTTTCATAAAGCTTTTAAAGCTTTCGTCCCTCTGCAGTGTTCCACCTTAATGGTGGAACCTCTAATTTATTTTCCTGTTTTTTTAGTATCAG